TCGTTCACTTTTTGCCAATGCTTTTTTGCCAATGCACTTATTCATTCCTCCCTGCTACCTTAGCCACAGTTACTGATAAAATTAGAAAGGCGAACCCAGCCATTATTAACTATCAGTCTAGAAGGAAAATTATGAAATCATAACTGGGAAAAATACAACGACCAACCACTGAAATTCGCTTCCTAATTTAGTGATATTAAAGGAAGCAGTGGAGAGCCGTGATCGTCTATATTTGAAACGTTATTCAAAAGTATCCCAATGAGAGGGTTTATTTTAAAGCCGATTTAATCGCGTTACTCAAAGATGAATTAAAATTGATGCTTAAGTCTCGTGACCGGAAGTGATCAAAAACTGTACAGGATTAAAACAAGGATTTAAATGTACACGTGACTATTCTGGATGATATCTCAACACATTAAACCTTTTTATCATATCGAGAATATTTACAAATCCTTTTTTTGATTTTAAATAAAAGATCTGTAATTGATTCATTGTCAGAAGAAAGAATACATGGTTGTCAGCAAAACAGGCAAACCAAGAATGCGAATTACAAATTGAAGACGTCAAAATAAAGAAATAAATTCAATTGAGAAGTTTCAAAAGAGAAAACGAAAAACATGAAACCGAAATCCGAAGCATAGCCAATGATGCTTTACAAAAAGTAACCGTATTAACAAAGGGAAAACCTTCGTTAGAAAGAGGAAAAGAGTGCTGAACTACAACGTAATAAGCAACCTTTCTATATGGCAGTGAATGTCGGACAATTTCCCCACTGATGAAGAGGAGACTTGGAACAAGGGAGATGTGATTTTATACAAAGATGTTGAGAATATGATGGAAATAGCATTTAAGAAACGAAAGGAAAATGGAAATAAAAAGAACATTTAGAATAAGAAAAGAACAGTCGAAATTTATTGAACACATAATGAGAAAAGAATGCTTGGAGAATTTGATACTCGCATGACATACCTAACACAAGAGGAACAAAGACAAACATTGAGTAATCTACTGACGAGTCTGTGTAAACGGATGCCAGAATAGGGACTGTTCAAGATAGTAAAAAAGCAATAAGATACAACGGATAGGAAGTTGTGGAGAGCCATGATCGTCAACGTCCTAAAGAGATAAGGTACAAGAAGAGGAAGTGAATTATATGGCGTATAGCGATATAATTTATTTCAAATTAACGTCACATTTGAGTTTAAGCTTTTCTGGGCGCCACCTCCTGACTTTACCATGATTCCACAACCACCGCCAATTTGTTTTTTCTAATTTACTGCACAAAAAAAAATTTAAAGCGGTACATACTAAAATATTTAACCGTCATTTTTAGCGGCTTCAGCTTTCAATCTGTATGTTGCATATTAAAAATCACGAAGAAAGGGATTGTCATAGGTCAAGAGCTGAGATATTTGGAGAATTAGCCAATGAGTTTTACAATGCTAATATATTGCTAATGATTTTATATGATCAGTATTTCAAATAATTTTAGTAGAGAAATGCATTAAAAGTCAAGACAAATAAGATGATCAGTTGTCAGAAATTCTTTTTTTTTAATCATTTCACCCAAAGCAAGGCAATAAAGCCACTAAGATGCATTGGTAATGATTTATGGAAGATTTTAATAATATACACTCAGTGATCATGAACGAAGTATTGAAAGAATATAGCTGTTTTAATATCGTGATGTAAACAATGTTAATATTAGACGTTTCCTTATAAGGAAACATTCGGCATTCATTAACCGGGCAGTAGGTTGAAATTTATAAAATCTTTCTGTTAAAACAGGAAAATAGTTTTTTTGTGTCTAATAAATGATAACGCTTTTGCAGTTAGCTTCCTAACCTTTTGGTCGAAGTGGAGTAGAAAGTCTTGATTATGTCATTGCTTTCTCTTCGATTATCTATTTTAGTTGTTGCTGTTCAAAAGTCTCCAAGCGATGTTTTTTTCTGTTATGTGTTATTCTAACCCTATTACTGTAGTAATTTATTGACAATCAAGAGAGAAAAGTTTTGTCGCTTGTCAAGAATGAAGGCAAGCGTTAATAACATAATTAGACTACTATATGCACAATGTAAAGGCTTTCGTAATCATTTTGATATTTTAATTCGTAATTATTTACAATGCTTCTTCTAAGAAATTCACAGGCGATTATCTCTAATCCGATGATTGTCATAAACAAGTAATGACAATACTTCGAAATTTCAGACGACATAATGTACGACTGGGTTTGAATGTAACGAGTGTTGTTGAGAATAATGAAAAGCAATAGTCATTTGTTCATTTTCTGGTTTTCTTTTTGCACATTACAAAATGATTGAATAAAAATACGTTGATAGAGAGCCAGAAAAATAGATGACAGGTACATTAATAATTTCGAAAACACTTCTCCCGGCAAACAAGTCAAGGTTATTAAATGACCGCTCAGCTATCGCGTAGAAGCAAAAAAAAATGATATAGAGATGTTATATCAAGGTGGAAAGATCGCATGTTGGGATCAAATTCCTGTCAAAGCCGTTGCGTTCGCTTTCACACAAATACCTTGAAAAGACATCTCTTCCCCGTTACACCCAATTGCTAGGTGTTAATAGCAAGATGCCTTCCCCTTGCTTTGGGTGGCAACCTGTCTAAAAAGGCAACTCTGAATCCAAAATGGGTTAGATGTGGGACTAACAACACCAATGCGTAATAACTTACTTGCTACGATAACCACGTCAGCAACTCCTTGTGTAGTGAGGCTGTGGCCCTATAGAAAGTATACATGATTAACATACATAATCAACATCAAAGCTTTTTCGAGTGCGATATGTCATTTTCAGCATGATTGATAGTTTACAATTGAGTTATTGGTGTTTTACGGCTTATCAACCCTTTTCAGGTTATTTAAAGCCAGAAAGCATTTTGAGATTGTAAGAATGGTGGGGACATAATGAATTACTAACTAACCCATAGCTGGAGAGGGAAGGGATGGATTCATACTTTTCTCAAGGTTAAATGAATACAACGGACCCAACGGTAATTCGAACTCGGTTCTACGATTAACAATTCCGAGCCGGTATCCATTACACCACCCGCACATCCAAGCTTGCAGCACCTGGTATTCCGAATCGGTCACCTATCTAAGTGCTGACGGAGCTCTACGTTACTTGACTTTTGAATAAATAATATAAGTATTTAAATTTAAGTCATTCAACCATTATTTTTCATCCAGGCTTGAGGTTGCCCCATTTTTAAAAAAAAAAATTAATGATTACGATTTTTTGTGTGGGTATCGGTGAGGTTTGCCCCATTTATTAAAAAAAAACATTAATGATAAGTACGATTTTTTTTTGTTTACTTTTTCAAAGAAATTAATATTTATTAAAAGGTCTTGTATCGTTCTGGCATCGCCCCGACATCGTCCAGGCATTGTCACGGCATCGTCCCGGCACTGTCCTGAAAACGTCCTGGCATCGTCCCGGCATTGTCCCGACATCGTCCTGGTATTGATTCGACATCGTCCAGGCATTGTCCCGACATCGTCCTAGCATTATCTCGACATAGTCCCAGCATCGTCTCGGCATCGTCCTGACACCGATACTTTCATCGTGTCCGACATCGTTCCGGTATTGTCTCGACATCGGCCTGTCCGAAATCGTCTGGCATCGTCCCAGCATTGTCCCGACATCGTCCTGGTATTAAACCGTTTATCCATCGATATGAAGTCATTCTTTATCAACATTGCATGCGATGTCCATTTTGCTTAATGCACCAAGTTTCATATGTACTTCATAATGTAATCGTCCTGTTTCAAACGTATATATTTTGATTCGACATCTGTTTTTTTTATTTATATGCATTAAATCATATTGATCATCTCACCGGCGAGGTTTAAATTCAAGGCATTAAAATTTGCGAGAATCGATCTCGTTTTGTACCTATTAAATTATCTCGACAGGTGAGAAGGAGGAATAGTCCCAGCATCGTCTCATTACTACTTTGATTGAATATCTGACACCGAGATTTCCTGTATATCCCCGCAACATTCCCTCCGTTATTGTCCCGACATCGGCCCGAGATATCCTCATTTAATACATTTACTCCAGAGAGCATCGTCCCCCAAAGGCGACGAATCGTCCAGACATTGTATTGTCCCGATATCGTCCAGCTATCGTCCCAAGAAACCTAACCAGCTGTCCCAAACTGATATTTTTATCACTCCCGAGACGTCGGGGCAATGTTCGTCAAAATTTGGTTATTTTTCCGTCAATACTTAAATGCCTGGATACTTTCCGAGTCGACCTTGTATAGTTTATCCATCGATATGAAGTCATTAATCATGTGCACTTGTATTGCTTTGAACGAAGCTTGAGGTCAATGAGTTTATCAATTTATTGGCCACGGAAATAACGATAGAGAAGAGATTCGTCTGTGGGAAAAGGGTTTTGTCGCAGGAAACATTGACCACTGATGCATGCGATGTCAAAACTGGGCAAATATGGCGAATTCCATTTTGAACTGGCTGCCGGGACGATAATGCAGGGGCCAAGTTTCATATGTGAACTTCAGGACGATGTAATGCCGGGACGATCTGTGTTCTGCTCAAATGCCTGAACGATGCCAGGACGATGCCGGGACGATATTTTGCAGGACTATTCAGGACTTTAAAACCTATGGATGTTACCTTACCGACTGTTTTATTTTATTTTATATCAACACTTTTCTTAAATGCATATTGATCATCTCACCGGCGAGGTTTAAATTCGCAAGAAATCGTAGATAAAATTTGCAAATGAGAATCGATCTCGTTTTGTACCGAAGTATTAAATTGAATTTCTGTTGCTGAAGGTCACAGGTGAGAAGGAGGAATGTTCGAAATTTAATCTCACTTAGCCGTCCAAACTGCCTCATTACTACTTTGATTGAATATCGATTTAGAGTGGAATATACATGCTACATGCGGGAGATTTCACAGGACTATGCCTGAATGATGCCCCCACGTGCAATCACTTTCAAACTACCTAACAGGACGATGCCACTTTGCCGGACGATGCCGGGACGATTGACAATCCGGGTTATGCCATTCAATTGAGTGAAATTGCGGGATTGCTACAAGGCTATTTAGTAAATAGATAGCCTGACGATGCCAGGACTTCATTGCCGGGAATGTCGGGTTCAATTTGATGCCTGAATGATGCCACGAGAGGACGATTACGATGCCTTGTATATCTTTTGCCCATTTGATGCCAAATTCTGGACGATGGCGACGAAGTAGAATATCTTTGCAGACAATTATGCCAGGATTACTGAATGGCCTGAACGTCAATTGGTGGGATTATCCATATTTCCTCGCTGCCAGGACGATGCCAGGACGAAATGCCGGAACTCGGGACGATTACAATACCGGGTTTCCAGGACTTGAAAAACCGTTCGGTCAACTGTGACGATCGACGATTCGGAGATGATTTTTGCATTTTATTTATTTTTACAGGAATGAATTTAACGATGCGGACGTATCGGGCAATACCGGGACTATAAGACCAGGACTACTCTGATGGTTGAGGACGTTGCCGGGACGAAATGTCGGGACAAAGAATAACAGTTTATGTGCATACATTTGGGCGATGCCAGGACTAAGATAATGGGTTGACTATGCCCATGCCTGAAGAACGATTCCAGGACGATGCGGGACGATGCTGGGAACAAGTTAATGCCAGGACTGCCTGAATGAGTGATCGGTGAGGACGTATTCTCTGCCAAGGAGTCGACGATGCCAGATGCTGAATGATGCCTGAACGATGCCTGGACGATGCCAAGCAGCGGTTCGGGGGATGCTCGGGACAATCCGGGACCTGCGCCAGGACCAACAGAATATGATGGGAATGCCAAGACGTCGTTTCGCTCGAGACAATACCGGTGCCGTCTTATGCCAAGACGATGCGGGACGATGCCGGGAGTTGGGACAAAGGTTAGGACTATGCAATATTGTTCGATGCTAAACATGCCAGGACGACGGAAATAACGATGCCGGGACGAAACAAGATGGTCTTGCTGAACGAACGATTTCGTCGATGCCGGGACGATGTCGGGACAATGGGAAAAGGGTTTTGTCGTATGAAAATGCCAGGACGATTGCCGGAACGATGCCGGGACGATGTCAACAAAGGACACGGATGCGATTTTAGAGATCTATGCTGGGCGATTGGAAAGGTGAAGCCTTGAATGATGATGGGCAGGAATATGGACGATGCAGTATTCCACGATGCCAGGACGATGCCTGAACTGGACGATTCGACAATACCGGGACGATGCCAGGACGATGCCGGGAAATGATGCCAAGACGATGCCAGGACGATGTGCCGGGACAATGCTGAACGATGCCAGGACGATGGACGATGGGACTATGTCCGGACTATGCCTGAATGATGCCTGAACGATGCCAGGACGATGCCGGGACGATGTGGGACGGGACAATACCGGGACTATGCCAGGACTATGCCTGAACGATTCCAGGACGATGCCGGGACGATGCGGGACGATGTCGGGATGCCGGACTATGCCGGGACTGAATGATGCCGATGATGCCAGGACGATGCCTGGACGATGCCGGGACGATGTCGGGACAATGCCAGGACGATGCCTGAACGGGACGATGCAAGACGATGCCGGGACGATGCCAGGACAGACTATGCCTGAATGATGCCTGAACGATGCCAGGACGACAGGATGCCGGGACGATGCGGGACGATGCCGGGACGATATCGGGACAATACCGGGACTATGCCAGGACTATGCCTGAATGATGCCTGAATGATGCCAGGACGATGCCAGGACGATGCCAAGACGATGCCGGGACGATGCCGGGACGCCGGGACTATGCCAGGACTATGCCTGAATGATGCCTGAACGATGCCAGGACGATGCCGGGACGATGTCGGGACAATACCGGGACTATGCCAGGACTATGCCTGAATGATGCCTGAACGATGCCAGGACGATGCCGGGACGATGTCGGGACAATACCGGACATGATGCCTGAACGATGCCAGGACGATGCCGGGACGATGTCGGGACAATACCGGGACTATGCCAGTACTATGCCTGAATGATGCCTAAACGATGCCGGGATGATATAAGATCTTTTAATAAATATTAAATTATCCCAAAAAGCAAACAAAAAAATCATACTTCTCATTAATGGTAGCTGTTTTCTTTTAATAAATGGAACATGACCAACAACAAAAAAACTTAAGCGGTTATTTTTACAATAGCTCTTGTAAAATTCGAGGGTAGTAGGAAGAGACAAGTACTTACTGCAACGATACAGGAAACTGGCCATGTCTGAGTTCCACTTGAGGCGTGGGTTGAGCTTAAATCCCAGTAGGCCCTTAAATCACGGGACCTCGCGTTCATCGCGTCAGGTGACAATTCAGGGTCCTTTCGGAGATGATAAAACGTTGCCGGTTTGATTTTCGAGACATTGAATCTGATCAGATAGTTTCCAAACTGACCTGTTATAGGTGAGAGGAGAAAACAGCTGTCAAGCTCTGGTCATCTAGAGTCAGTAACATTCAAACTTCGATTTTTCAAGTTTCTTTTCAACATTTTAATGTCTACAAATTAAAATTGCTAGAGAAGCGTTAGGATTAACTCCTGTGAATTGCTTGTTAAGAATTTAATGAAAATTGAACCGTATATAAAATGAGGCGTTAATCACTATATTATTTTCTCATAGGCTTACGGCCACCTCACGTTGAAACTCAGATTCCAGTAGAGTACGATAACCGAAGTTAAGCAAGGTCGTGCTTGATCAGCACCTAGGCGGGTGACCGCTTGGGAATACCAAGTGCTGTAAGCTTAGATGTGCGGGTGGTGTAATGGATAATGGCTCGTTATGGTCAATCAGAGAGCCGAGTACCAATTCGTTATATTCACTTCGAGAAACTATGTATCCACCCCTCATCCCGAAGCGATAGGTTAATTAGTAAGACCTGTTTCACTAAATCATTATTATCAAAAAAAATCTTGTCTAAAATATTTTCTGGCTTTAAATAACCTGCAAATCCGTAAAAAGACGAATGATTTTCTCATATTTAATATAACAGTTAAAATGAGTTACCTCATGTGAAGGGTGTATAATGATTTCGATTTCAATCAGATATCCCCATTATGATGACCTTGTGTCGTACACAGCTAGTTTTACTTAATGCACATAGTCTACAACAGAAGAGCAATAATGAAGAGCTTGTTATTTTTTGTGCTATTGTTCACCAAATGTATGGCGCAAGAGCTACTCAAGGTAGAGAATTTCTAAATAAGATTGCTGTAAGGGTGCACACAAAGGTTCAAACAGGGTGTCCCCAAAAATGCCTGTAATTTTAAATGACAATAGATGCAGTGTTTTTATTGACTTGCAACTAGTGCAACTAAAATGTATCGCTCGTCTGTAAATCTGTCATTTCGTCTGTGGGAAAAGTGTTGTAGAGTAGAAAATAATTCATCACAGACAAGGCTGTTATAGACGTTTGAATTCTGGAAAGTGACCATTTGCAGATATGGTAGCAATAAAACTTGCAAGCCGTTGGTCGTTATATATTTGATCCTATGCTTTCAGTGAAATCAATCTCAAAACACTGGCTGAAGCTAAGTAAGTGTTTAGCGACATCAGGTACCTTAAATAGGCAATATGCATACTAAAAGAACTTACTAACTGACAAATTAAAGCGCATCTGTGGTCGACAAAGTTTCTTCTTCTATGTGCTGTGTCCGATGATGATCATGGCCCTCCATAATTTCTTATCCTTTGTAGTTCTTAAAAAAATTGTATTTTTGTATTTTCTCTTAAACATTGCTCTGCTTGCCAGGTAAGTTATGCATTGCCTTCATCTGCCTCTCTTACTTGTCAATCTCTCCTGTGACTATCAAATTTTCCAAGTCCTCTTTCCTCATTACGTACCCGAAAAATTGTCCCTTTTGTTTCCATTGTCTCGAGAACATCGTCGCTACTCAAATGTTTATCCCATGGTCTTCTCAGCATCCTTCTGTAGAACCTCATTTTTGTTGGTTCAAGTCTCTTCTTCATCTGTGAATAGATTGTACAGCATTCACTGTCATATAGGAAGATTGATATTACATAGCAGTTAAGTACTCTTTTCTTCGTATTTTCAGCATCCATCTATAGAACCTCATTTTTGTTGATTCAAGTCTCTTCTTCATCTATGAATAGATTGTACAGCATTTACTGCGGTATAAAGCGACAGTAAATTAGCTTATTTAAAACCCATAAAATATTGCTGTTGACTACCGATTAACAAGCTTATCTGACAAACGATTGATAGTGTTGGAACTTCGATTATCCCTGTCTCTCAATGCTAAATTTAATTTCAATATCGGTTCTCTATTGATCATCTGAGAGACCCTTTTCTACCTTCCATCATTATGTCTGAGGCTAACTTCCAGTAAAGTGATTCGATGCACCTTCCCGGGCTAACATTCTCGACTGACATGAAGTGGAAAGACTATATTGAAAAGATTGCTACGTCAGCTGCCAAGAAAGTTGGTTCCCTGTGTCGTGTTAGACAATTTTTATCTCCAGAATCTATCTTACATATCTACGATTCGTCCATGCTTAGAATATTGCTGCTATATATGACCCGCTACCCCTGCTATATATTAAGAGATTTATGATAAAATCTAAAGAATCTGCAATATTATTGGTCGTGACCTGCCGTCTCGGCTTCGGTCACTTTTCTACAAGCGTAAAGTTGCTTCCCTGTGTCTTTTCTATAAATACTTTCATGGCAATTGTTCGGATGAGCTCTTCGCTCTGGTACCTAGACTTTATGAGTTTAAGCGCAGAAATAGATAAGCGACAAGGTCCATCAATATAGAGTTGAATTGGCTAAATGTAACTATAAGTCTTATGCTAACAAAAATAGTAGTTAACTTATATTAAGTCCCTAAACTATTTACTTGAAAAATTAAATGTTTAAACTGATAACATTCATCATTTTTTAGAGAT